TAAAGAGATGTGGCAACATAGCATTTCTGCGTGGGCGGAAACATCATAGAGCACACTAGTGAAGCTTTATCAACTTCTTCCCAAGGGAAGAATTAGCCAGTCTTACAAGATTCTTGTAATATAGGTGATCAACAATAAAGAAACTGTTGGCCTATTCACAAAGTTGTTCCTGTTCTGTATGCCTCACAGGAATATTCTTCCTGCACAATCAGAGGTGGTATTCAGCCGGTTCTCTCTGGTTCGGACGAACCTGTAGCGTCCACCCACACCCAATGTAATGCGTGAGCATGCGCAGAAGGTGATGCGCATTCGCAAACACGAGCACACTCACATTTGCAAACAGGTAGGGAAGGTAAGTGAATCCCACTGCTGTGTACAACATAGAATTCTGGGTACCCCGTTGGCTGGCTTGCTTAGAGACCCAACTGTGGGGATCAAAAGGAGACATGAGTAGAAGACTTGAGCAATTAGCAGCAGCAGGAATGCGCAGTGCATAGACTGGAGTACACAGGAGGTGGTTGTGAGTAAGGGAGAAGAGTGAATGAGTAGCGTCACCTGATAGACTGCAAGTGCGTAGGCTTCGCTTTCTCTCCATAGGGGTAGGGAAGTGGACAATACTCGCACATAATCCCTTCCTCTGTGGGAGGTTGTAATGCGATAGTTTGTTCTTCTTCACTGAGATTGTGCAAACCAGAAATGAGCACAACTTGAAAACCGTTCTGGGAATGGAGTGCCTGGCCCATGTTTGGAGAGGCTGTTATGATTTCTGGATATTAAATATTGCCAGCTAACCATTCATCCCTATCTTCCAATCTTGGGATAACATCTGAGATTCGGTCATTTGCATTATTGTGTGAGTGACTGTATATAAAAAAACAAAAAAAATTAAACAATAATCCTGCCTACCATCTTGGAATGCATGTACAAAAAGTCATTCTGTATTCATGATTGAATTATTCTTTCTAATAACTAATTAAAAATGAATTCTCCTTCAAATTGAGTTTGACTTCTAATGACTTCCTTCCATACAGATTTTTTTACAGCAGTGTTGTGAACTGATTTGCCATTATCTTTTTCTAGGTCCGCTTTTTCTCTCTTTTTTTGGCCAACTATTCACTTAGCCTACCGCTATGGCAGAGGTGGGTTGCCGCCGGTTCGGCCCGGTTCAGCCAAACCGGTAGTAGAATTCAGGTCTGGGTCACAGAACCAGCAGAGACCCAGGCCTGCCACGCCCCCAAACCAGTTTCCTCGCTGCCGCTTGCCCACCACCATTTTGGATTATAGTGGCTGCGCCTGCTCGTGCACATTGCGCGCCAGTTGCGAACCTGCAGTAACACCCACAGCAACCCACCCCTGAGCTATGGGATTACCTGATGGTGTCCCCTCCAATTACTAACTGAATTTTTGAAGTCAACTAAGGTTGGCTAGGTACTACTAAGCTATCCAGAACCACAGTGTTTGGCTAAGTTGAGAAGCTGATTTTTGATTACTGATTTGTAGGGAACTACCACATTTTTCTTAGTATAAAATGCACTCCCCCGCTAAAAGTGAGTAAAAATTGTGGTGCGTCTTATACACCGAATGTTGCTGAAGCCCCACTCACCAGCCCCCACCCTTCGGCTGTTTTCAGCCTCCATGAGTTGCGTTTTTGGCCTCTGCACTTAAGATCCATTCCAGGCTATGGGGATCATCACAGCACATTGTCGCTGATCGCCACCTCTGTGTGTCATGTTTTTGGCCTCTGCACGCTCCATTTTTGGCCTTCGTGTGTCGTGTTTTTGGCCAATTCCAGGTGGTGGGTATTGGCGCAAACCAGCTGAAAATGCAATGCACGGAGGCCAAAAACGTGGCATGCAGAGGCCAAAAACACGACATGTTGACACGCAGAAGCGGCAATCGGCGGCTGTGGTGATCCCCACAGCCTGGAATAGGTCTAAAATGGGACATCTGGAGGGTGAAAATGCAACATATGGAGACCAATCTCATACAGCCACTTTTGGCCTCCTGAAACCTCGCCCCCCGCATCCCATTTTTGCAAAAAATGGATCATTTTTTGCAAAAACAGAGGCATTTTTGCCTTCCCCCATCCCCAGCAGCACTCTGCAGGCTTCAGCAGGGCTGGGGGAAAGCAAAAACGCCCCTGTTTTGGCAAAAAACTGGCCATTTTTTGCAAAAACTAAGGCATTTTTATCAATCAGTCTTATTTTTTCTGCTGGGCATAAGTCATTTTTCCAAAATTACCACAAGACTGCAACATTTACCTCCTCACCCATCCTCTTTATTTTCTAAGGACATTTAGAGGGTATCAGAAATATTCTTATAAATACTTTTTTTTAAAAAAATGCTAGAACCTGGAGTTTTGTTCTGCAGCACGCCAAGGCTTCTATTTAGTGTCTGTTATTAAAAGCATCTAAAAGAAAAGATGAGGCTGAACGTCAGGGGATGATGGGAATCATGCCGCATACCTCTGTAATCACAAAACGTAGCCAAAAAACAAAAAAATGTAGCAGTAGCTCTCATAGACAACAAAGATCTTCCCATAGAAAACAGAGTTGGACAATCTACTCCATTAATCAGTGGAACAACTTGCCTCCAGAAGTTGTGAATGCTCCAAGACTGGAAGTTTTTAAGAGGAGATTGGACACCCATTTGCCTGAAATGATATGGAGTTTCCTGCCTGATCAGGGAGGTAGACTACAAGACCTCCAAGGTTCCTTCCACCTCTGTTACTCTATTCTATTCTGTAAAAGGAAGCATAGCATTGGAATGGATCCTGTTTCCGCTGCACAATTTGGAAGTTTTGATGCCTTTGCCCTCTAGGGTTAATCAAGTGCATTTCATCCAGATCATGAAAAAAAAATGGTTCACATGTAAGCCAGAGGAAATTCCTGCTGTTTTTCCCCTTGTTTTATCTTTTTTTTTCCCAGGGCTTAATTAAAAGAGAGGGCACTATCATTCTCTAGAGCTATGTTTCAACACCTTCAATGATTGCCAAGTTTTTGGCAACAGTGTGCGCTCTCAAAGTTTTTTCCCCCCTACTCTAAACAGTACACTCCAAAAGTACACTTCTTGGCTACTCTTAACTTGAATTAGGTAGGGAAAAGCAACAAAACCGGCACTGAACAACTACCCTGTTTCCCCGAAAATAAGACCTCCTTGGATAATAAGCCCAATCGGGCTTTTGAGTGCATGCTCTAAAATAAGTCCTCCCCTGAAAATAAACCCTCCCAGAAAATATTGCAACACAGAAGCAGCCATGAGGTGACCATGCTCACTGCCTCCTGCACCTCAGAAATAATAAGCCCTCCCCGAAAATAAAGCCAAGCGCTTATTTCAGGGGTCAAAAGAAAATAAGACCCTGCCTTGTTTTATGGGAAACACAGCATTGATGTATTGGTGGTGATAGGCAGCACTCAGGTAGTCCCAAGAAAGAAGGAAAGAAAGAGAGAGAGAGAGAGAAAGAAAGAAAGAAAGAAAGAAAGAAAG